AAAAAGAAAGAAAGAAAGGCCCATGATGGATGAAAGGGGGCAGATTATACATTGTTAAGAGTATGAACTCTGAAGTAAGACGGCCTGAGTTTGCATCCCAGTCTGCCATTCCTTAGCTGTGTGACCCTAGGCAAGTACTTAACCTCCCTGTGCATCAGGCTTCTCGTGTATCACAGGATGATAATAATACCACATATGACATAGGGTTGTTGGGGAAGTACATTAGCATAATATATGTAAAGCACCACCTGTACCAGGACCCGAAACATAACAAAAGCTAGCTAAGTGTATGGGAGATGGAGACAAGAAAGAAGAGCAAGACAGAGGCAACCACATAAAGTCCCAAAGTGGAGTGCTAAAACACATATTTTCTTTTTGTTTTCACCAGAAAAAAATGAAAGCATAAAGTATGTTAAGTACAAATTACTGTGTATAAACTGGGTTTTGCTAACTCAATGAAAGCTTTAGGGCATTGCTCCTTTATTACAACCATGGATCCTTATCCCAGAAAAATGCACAGGTGCAGATGACCATACCCAGAACCCCTTGTCCACAAATCAAGGTCAGCAGGCACTTCTTCAACATCCTCCCTGAGCATTAGAAATTAGATCAGGGTAATGGGCTAATGGTATGACCAACTTTCCATAAAAACCAATGCTTAGTATGGAATTATATACAGCCCTATGCAAATAGGGGCCCTAAAGTATCGAATAAAAAATTAAACTGTGAACTCATAGAGGAATGAGACAAGTAGAACACAATGAACTTCGCAGCTCCATCTCAAAGCAGAGAAGGGGTAAAGAAGGCAATTGCGGTTAGGCGGTCCTTTGTCTGAGAAGCAGACCTGTGAAGGAAAAGGGCGCAGGTCGTCTAACCCTGAGGAGGAGATGAGGGCGAGAGACAAAATGTAAAAACTGACCGGCTTTGTACTCACATGGTGAAGGAGCCAGGGGGTGCAGACACTCTCCGCAGGTCCGCAGCTTGCACCTGATGGAGACTAGAGGCAGCAGGGAATGAGCAGCGAAGACAGTCAGCACAACAGCGTGGACAGACAGGGAACAAGCCCGGAGAGAGAAAGAGAGACACACAAAATTTAAACAGAAATTAAACAAGCGCGTCACCAAACAGTGAATGCAAAGGAAAAATCAAGCCAGCCACGGAAATAATCCAAAAAGCCGGCGGTAGCAACGAAGCCAACAGGACACATGGCAGAGGCTGGCTCTAGGCAAACCACAGACTGGAGCGCAGGGCAGAGCGCAGGGCAGAGCGCAGGGCAGATGTGGAGAGCACTGACGCTGGGCAGAGATGCGGGCAGGAGGGATCATTGTGTTCCTCTCTTTGCCTAGGTCATTCAGGACAGCCAAGGAGAGGAAGCACCACACACACACACACAGACACACACACAGACACACACACACACTCACACACTCACACACACACACTCACACACACAAGGGCAGGCTGGCATCATCAACTTATCTCTGAGGAGAGTGAAGGTATATTTCACCCCTTAACATAGTCCTTATAATTCCAGGGCTTTGCAGAAATATTCGTGTCAAAAGACCACCATGTTGAAAAGACTGACTCAACTTTAACTTCCTTCACGTAAACACCAAAGCTTTTTAAGAACTCTATAAGTGATACCCCCAAAGCCTACATTTACCACAGCAAAGCCGTAATTCCACTCATATGGTAGAAGATTGAAACCATAGACGACATCTCTCTTTTGTCCCTTCTTAGATTAAGCAGAGGGCCTTGAGTGGTTATTAGAAAAGACAAATGTAGAATTCAAAAAACTAAAACCCCAATTTCCTATTACTTTTACCTAATTATACTCTCAGTCAAGTTGAACAGTTTCACTATAGTGGCAATTGACTTAGCTCCCCAGACCCATCTTTTCTGCTGGATGTGTAAAGTCTCATGTAAACTAACCCATGAAGTCACTCCCTGTGATTCCACAAGGACTATTAGTTATAACCAATAATATTTCTCAGCAGATGGGCTGACTAGTTCAAAGCTGGCAACTAGAAATCTTGTCCTTAGACAATGCAATCACCCTTAACAATGTATTTTTAATAACTACTGAACTCAGGGTAATGGCTAGCTTAAGACCTCCCTAAACACCGAGTAATGTTAAATTTCTGATCTTTTTCTTTAAAAAAAATTTTTTTATTGATTTTCTTTTGGAGAGAGCAAGGGATAGGGAGAGAGAAAGAAACATCGATGTGAGAGCGAGACATCGATCGGCTGCCTCCTATATGTCCCCTATATCGCCCGCAACCCAGGCATGTGCCCTGACCGGGAATCAAACCAGCAACCTTTCAGTGCATGGGACAATACCCAACTAACAGAGCCATACCAGCCTGAGCAAATTTCTGATCTTTTTCTAACGTGCCTTTCAAAGAGGGAACATAATGTGGCTAACACATTACTAGCACATGAATATGAACCTACATAAATCTCTTCTATTACTTTTTTGTGGGAAGCTATTCGCTAGAGTTCATATTTCGAATAGATTCATAACCACAATAAAATAAGATATATTCCTGTACCAATGGAGGGAGGACTATTGAACACAAATGGGGACTAGTCTTTTAGTTTGTGTATAATAACAACAAAAGTGAATTATAAACCAAGACGTTTTTAAAAATTATTTTTCCCTTTTTGCATATGTGAAGCTGTAGTGGCATTATGAAGAACTACTATTTAACTGTTTCTCATGGGACTTCCTCCAGTTATGCATGTGAATCAGATCTAAAAATTCTTCCAGTTATTATAAAATATGATCAAGACATTTCCTACATCATTTTTATATTCATGAGATCTTAGATTTGTTATTTTAGAAATAATTTTAAAGAAACATATCATATCTGTACCATGTGTGAGCCACTTATTCATCATGTAACCACGAGTCTCGGGCACACGGACAGGTACCAGGATCCTAAAAGGAAAACCCCAGGGTTTCCCCACAGAGTAGGGAAGAGAGACAAGTAAACCAATGGTTACACTATTTTTCATAAATGATATAAGCAAGAGCACTATAGGAGCACTGAGTGGTGTATTTAATGTCTAGAAGCAGATAGAGAAGAGTTATTAGAGAAAGTGATATATCAATGCAGTCTTGAACTTGAGTGAGAATCAGCAGATGAAAGGAGGTGAGGACAACAGAAGTGAAAAGATATGATGATTCACAAGACAGGCTGTTGCTCTAGGACCAGCAATTATCTCTGCAGCATAGGGATATAAGGATGAAGAAGGCAAGGATCATAAAGTCTGTAAAGCAAAGCATATGGGCTTTACATTTTTAGAAAGTTCATTATGTGAAGGGCAGCAACACCGGAAATAAGGAAATGAATTATGAGCATATTTTAGGAGTGCCACTGAGAGGTAACTAGCAGAGAAGATGGTTAGATGGTGTGAGAGTTAAAGATGTGGGAATTAGATAGAAGGTAGATTTCAAAGAAGGCACTGGAGGTGTAACAGTGAAGGGGGCTGTGAGGACTCTAGGGACCAGGGTCATGGTGAATGAGTGGATGGTGGTTCCATTCACACCCATGTGAATGAAAAGGCTCATTGGGTGATGAGGAGAACAGACTTAATGAATCTATTAATAGTAGTCCATGTAGTCTGATGTTGTTATGAGATATCCAAGTAAAAATGTCAACTTAAATATTTAGTGATAAGTCTTCAGTTTTTAGAAGAAACCCTTGTTGAAGATGCAGATCTGAGACTCATTAGCTCATCAGTCATAGATGAAACGTGGGGTGCTGATGAGCTCTCCCAGAGAAAGGGCAAATCCCTGCGGAGCACTGGCATTCAAGCCAAAGAGGGAGCCAGTTGTTTAGGGGAACCACAACACTTAAGACTCAAATACTCACAGTTCACATGCTATGTGAATGAAGGATACTTTCTTAAGATAAAGGAGAGCCTCTTCTGGCTGAGAACTCCCATCTCCTCAACACACAGAGGTTTTTCTAACTAAAATTCTTAAGACAGTTTAGACCAGGCAAATGAAACAGAAGAAACATATAGTCTTAGAAAAAAGAAAGAAAGAAAGAAAGAAAGAAAGAAAGAAAGAAAGAAAGAAAGAAAGAAAGAAAGAAAGAAAGGAAGGAAGAAAGAAAGAGAGAAAAGAAAGAAAGAGAGAAAGAAAGAAAGAAAGAAAGAAAAGGAGAAGCACAGAAAGGAAGAAAAGGAAAAAATGAAGGAAGGAAATAAAGATATATCTTTCAATGATCTCTCTCTGACTTGGCTGCAATAGAAAGCTTTATACAACCATGGCTGGAAGAGAGAAAACATTTTAAAAGGTCTTAACAGTCAGGCTGCCCTTAAACTGAAAACTCCATTTATAAATCTAGTAGAAGAAGTTAGATTTCAAAACAATGATTTCTAGAGAAATAGAAAAAAAGCAATCTAATCTCAGAGGGTGAATAAGATCAGTGGGTAAGAGAAATTAAGGTCTAGTGAAAAAGTATTATATGGTAACTGAGTGTTTTGTTTTCCTTTGAAACGTGCTACCTATATTGATTTTGTAAAAATATAGTGTTGAATGATTTTTATCATAAGTAGTAATAAAGATCTTTCTTATTTTTGAATATTTATTTGTGTTCTCTTTAAAAATCAAAAGCATACTATTAATGAATGCCATTTTGCATGAGTCTTTCATATGACCCAAGGCTGCTTTAATGGAGCCACCACTGCCCCCTGGTGGAAAGTAACTATTTTTGAGTTGAGATGGCTTATTGAACACCTACCTACCTGTGCCGCTAAATCTATGAAGTCACAAAATATGTCATGTGTGTCATGAGTACAACCCCCCCCCAACCTACTTATATTTGTTTTTATATGTGAAAAAAGCCTATGTGGATTCTTAACAATACAATTACTAAGTAAATACAAATTCTTTCTCAAAGGTAAGAGGTGTTTAAAACTAAATATAGTACCTGAAAACAACATCATGTCTGATAAGATTATTAAATAGATAAGTTCCAGACATGAGAATTGGAGTGAGCCTTGCCTATAAACACTAAGAACATTTAGCTGTATTATGTGTTCTTAACAAGCTATCTACACGGGACCCCAAACAGCCTGAGCTACTCACAGAGAAGGCTTTTCACTACCAGTTCAGAGACTTCGACCAAACCAATGGTTCATGGCTTAACTCTAAGGTTTCTAGAGAGAATGTGGCCAACCATATATTGTTGCTGACATCTTACTTTTTAACATTTAAACTCAGCAATTGCATAGCCAACCTAATAGAAGGTAAAGATATCAGGAATAAGCTAGGAGCTTCACTAACTGCAAAATGTAAACAAAACAAGAGATATAGCTAAATGAGACCCTAGATAATGACCTAAGAGAAGTTCTGGGGAAGCCCAGAGTGATTCGGGGAAGGAGGAAGCAAAGCAGAGAGGATATATTACCCCAAGTTTAGACTTCGAAGCAGACACCCAAAATGAACACCCAAAATGAAGAGCCCTATCTAATACTGTTCCTCAATGTATACTGTCTCAGAGAGGTGGTCACGTTTCAGCAGTGATCTATGGCACCCATGTCATTGGCTTATTCTAGGTACTTCTGTAGATTGTCATATCAACTCAATAAATACATGGCAGAGCATGTTCTTGCTTCACAGGCACTAGAGGAAGCCAGCCATTCAGTACAAATAGTTAACCATGCATCACAGGCCACAAACAGGAAGAGCACCTTGGAGGGTCCCTCACTGTGACAGAAGAAGGACCCAAAGGTGAGCCCTGAAACGGCCTTACCTTGAGTCAGGGTGGTCATATGGGCATGATATATAGAAGATACTCAAAAAATGCTCCAAATCCCCATCTTTTTCCATCTCCTTCACCAACCCCAGATACACATTTCAATAAAAATTAGATTAAGGGATGCTAAAAAAAATGAATATCTAGTCATTATCACCTTATCTGAAATCAGTTTATCCAAACACCAAGGAAAGGGTCAAGGACAGGATACACTTTGTTTAAGCATTGCATCATGGGTCAGGTTAAATCTAAACAGTAGAATGCCACCTAGAATGGCCAACTGAGCTGAAGCAACAGAGTGCACAGGACCCCAAAAAGGCAGGAGACAGGTGAGCCAAAATCCAGCTCTGCCAACCTCCTGCTGTTGGCAAAACCAATACTCTCCAAGTGACCCGAGTAAAGAGGAGGCAGACAGCCTGACTTCCTAAAACAAAATACAAAAGAACGCATTTATTTGGATGCATTTTATGGCCCCTGATTCTTAATGCGTTTCTGATGGCCCCAGGAAATGTATACTCAGGTGGTCAGTGAAGAAGCATCGTCAATCTAGCATGTAATACTGTAATGAATTCTAAAAGAAGAATGTGGTCACTGTGTAATAAACATGAAGAAAAAAACATGAGAGAGACTAAGGAACTGCGGAGTCTCCTGGACTTTTGCTCCTTTCTCAACACAGTGAGGCCCCAACCATGCACATGCTCTGCGTCGTCCTCTCCACACTCTTTGTGTTCAGGAAGGTAGGGAGGGGGCGGACTCACTCATTGAGTAAAGGCATGGACGTTCTCCTCTTGCTCTTCTGCACCATGTTGGCCTGATTCCTCAAGGAGATCCGAATCATAGCGGGGGCCAGCCTGCAGGGCTCCCCATCCACTTGCATGGGGATGGATTTGTAAGTCAGCAGCATGACCTCCCGGCACTGGTGCAGCCTTTCCCCGTGGCCCCCGACTTGCAGGGCAGCCTGTAAAAACAAGAGTCAAAAGGAAGCTAGGAGTTCGTTCTTAAAGTTACTCAGCAAAGCTAGGAACCCCAAGTAAACTATATAGAAGCAAATACCTTTGATAAAGATATGGAAAATTTTTAGCCAGCAGTAAAACAGGAAGCCCTGGATAAATCATCAATACAAGTAAACTAAGGTTTCTAAACTTTTAATGAGCTTCACCATAAATTCTCATTGATAGCCACTTTTCACTTTTATGTATTTTTCAGCCTTAATGTAATCATGATAGTTTAACACAAAAGTTGGCCTGTTCATTATCTATGCATATTGAATAAGCAATTTGAGTAGAACAAAAAGAACATAAAAGAGATAAAGCACATAGTTTAAGAGAGCTTCTAATCTACAGTTGACTCTTGAGCAGAATGGATTTGAACTGTGTGAGTCCACTTACATGCACATTTTTAAATAAATATATTGAAAAAATTTTTGAAAGATTTTCTTACTACTGTGAAGAAACTGTATCAATTATGCTAGGCTACCATAAAACAATGAAATTGCTGCTTTTCTTTGTTATCAATGCATTAATCATTATAGTAATTTATTTTTTCAATTATCTTTCCATTTCTGATGCCTAGTGTTAGTAATACATGTAACATCCACAGTGTTTTCTATCATATAAGACAATATTGATGTCGGTAATGACAGATGATTTATCTTATAAACAGAAGATGTACACATAGAGTATTGATAAATAATACAGTATTGTAAATGTATTTTCTCTTCCTTATGATTTTAATAACATTTTCTTTTCTAGAGCTTACTTTATTTTAAGAATACATTATATAATACATATAAAATACAAAATACATGTGTTAATTGACTGTTAATGTTATCGATAAGGCTTTCAGTCAACAGTAGGCAATTAATAATTAAGTTTTGGGGGAGCCAAAAGCTATACATGGATATTTGACCATGTGGGGATTGGCGCCCTTAATCCTTGCGTTGTTTTAAATGTAAATAAATGTTATAATAAATATATATTATAGATTAAATATACTCATATTTAAATAGCCCATTCTTGGTTAATTTTCTTCTTTTTTAAAAAAATATTTTTATTTATTTCAGAGAGGAAGAGAGATATAGAAACATCAATGATGAGAGAGAATCATTGATCAACTGCCTCCTGCACGCCCCCTACTGGGGATGGAGCCTGCAACCCAGGCATGTACCCTTGACCAGAATCAAACCCAGGACACTTCAGTCCGCAGGCCGATGCTCTATCCACTGAGCCAAACCAGCTAGGGCCCTTGGTTAATTTTCAAACTTAGGCAGGCTTTTCCTTTTTATCTAAAACGTCCTCACAAGCTACTTTAATCTGTGTCTAATATGAAATGCAAAATAATATTAACTCAAAAACATTCTGAAAATAAAGCAGTGTTGAAGATCAAAATCAGACACAGAAAGAGCTCAGTTCACAATGGTGGCAACAGAAAACTAGTCCAATATTAAAAGTCTATTGTTAAGAGCAACAAATTAGCATAACTACCTTGTCTTATTAGTAAATTATTTATATTTACAGGTGCCCCCCCAAACATAAACACATTTTGAATAATTATTAATTCCAATGGCTTAAATGAGAAAAGAAAGAAACATCAATTGAGCTATCAGCTGTTTAGTGTGTATACATTTGGGGAGGGGGGCCTGTATACTAGTATATAGAGAGTATTATTCACCTTTTTATGAATAAATGAAACTCATACAATGTACGTTTGGTTATAACTTATATCAAGTACCCAAATAATATTATACAGCTTGATGAATAAGTTTTTATACATATAGGGATCTCCATCCGATCAAGCTGTGGACAATTCACAGCAACCAAGAGGTTTTCACGTGCCCCTTCCAATCTACTTACACTCCTCCCACCAACCAGTCGGTAACCACTATTCTGACTTCTATCACCATAGATTCAATCTGCTTGAATTTGAACTTCATATAAAATAAATCATACAATATATACTCTTATGTCTGACATCATTTGCTCATCATTATTTTTGAGTAATATATAACAAAATGGATTTATCTGATCTCCTGCTGGTAAACATTTATTTATTGATTTAAACTTTCTGGTATGTATCTCTTGGTGGACACATATTCTCCTGAGTACATACAATGAGTAGACCTGCTATGCCATGAATTTAGATGTACACTTGACTTTAGTAGATACTGCTAAATAGTTTTCCAATAAGGTTATATTACAATGCATTTTGAGTATCAATTTATAATTAAGAAAACTTTTAAAAGGAGACAGATACTACTAACTCTAACCCCAAATCTAGAAGATTTACTTAAGAAAAAAATAAAAACATACATACTATCAGCTTGTTTCCATATGTCTCATCACTACAAATGGGCAAAAAACCTTGTTAATTGATTTGTGAAGTCAACTTCAACTTGCTTGCCAGATATTTGTATTTATCTGATATTTTGCATTATTTTTTGCACTTGCATTAATTTTAACAGTAGAAACCTGCTTATCTATAAATACAAAGAGAAATGAAACACAAGGGAACAAATGGGGGAAAGAAAATAGAATAATAATGGAAAAGTAAAGAACTTACTGAACACCTTCGAAGTTAAAGCACTCAATTATGTCCTTTACATACAATGTTATTCAATTAGTGAGAGAATGAGAAAGCAGAGGAGAATGCAGTGAGACTTTACTAAAATTCCTTTTGGCCTATTACCTGACCCTCTGTTAGTCAGCTGAAAGTTCTTTCTGGCTGTACTTAAACGACCCATTTAAGTTAATCTGGATTTGAGCCACTATCTCATCTCCAGAACTTTTCCAATATATTTCCCTTGCCTTCTATTTTTCAGCCCAATATTTATCTGACAAAACTGTATCTTTTTATCCACTAAAGAAAATCTCATTTACTTCCTCCCCACCCCCCCACACCCCCCGTCCCACAATCTTGACTAGGCCTGATGACAAATAAAAAGGCAGAGACTACTAGGTAAGAACTTACTGAGTTTAACAGGACTGAAAATTGCATAACTTGTTTCCAACCTCTTGGTATCGAAAGGTAGACACAGTACTGCAGAGCATGTTGAAGCCATATTCTCAGCCTCACAATAGAACAACAGCAAACACCACAAACAAAAGAGGTAAATAGCTGTCAAGGGCAGTCCCATTGGCATTTCAGAATCAATCCCAGATCACTGTACAGGCGCAAAAGGCATGACCAGAATTAGCTTTCAGCATAGACAGTTCTATTACTGTTAGTACAGCCACATTAAATTACTTCTGGAACAAATTAAAGGTAATTTTTTAAATGCTTATAAGAAATAGTGATTTTTGCATCACTCAGATTTGTCTAGGCTTAATATCCTTTTAAGGTACAGGCCCTAACAGCCAGAAACATTCCCACGATTTGCTAAATGAATCATTTACTGATAATAATACATTGGTCTATTAATGACAGACATTCGATTTTCTGTTCAACTGCAGGTGTTCCTCTGGAGAAACCTTCCAATATTGCTTTTCTGGTAGCATATTACTACAGAGGAAAACTAAGACAGCCCCTGAGCTTACTGCATCCTTGCCATTTATTGGTGTCAGACCAAGAATGGGTTGAGATTTCCTCTCTTTCCACACTATATATACTCCTCCCTGGCATGCCTTTCTCCATCTCCCTTCAAGCTGTATCCTGCTTACTACACAATCTTCATTCTACTTGCTGTCAGATAAAAAGGATGGACAGTCCTGGTTTGTGGAAGACAAGAAGCAAAGGCAAGTCCTCCTCTCTTTCCTTTCTCACCACTGCTGCCAGCCCTGCCTCCCAGCCTCATTCCTGTAACAAAATGCCCAAGACAAAAATCAGTGACCCTGGGAATAAGAAATGGAGACAGTCAACAATACTAAAATCTTGGTTGGTTTTGTTTTTAATGACTAACACAGTAGTCTTATAAGACTAAGCAACAAAAAATAGAAAACAAAACCATTTTTTTATTTAAAGATAAAATTAAAAAGAGGATAGCTCAAGTTATAATAAAGTTAAACAGAGCTGAAAATAAATCATTGTGATTTCACCACATTGTGGTTTAAATGAGAAAAAACATATTATTATCTCAAAAGATGCAGGACAAATAATTTAGTGCCTTTCAGCATAGAAAATTGTTAAGGTTTAAATGAGAAAAAACATATTATTATCTCAAAAGACGCAGGACAAATAATAATTTAGTGCCTTTCAGCATAGAAAGTTGTTATAAAACTAGAAATACAAAGTGACTTTTTAAAATGATAAACATAATCTTGGTACAAACACACAGAAAAAACATTATTATATAGAGTAAAGAAAATTTAGAAGCATTCCTTTCAAGGGACAATGTTATTCACTAGTAACAAAAGTTTTCAACATAATATTGGAGGTCTTGAACAACATAAGAAGTCAAGGAAATATAATTTTAGTATGAGTTTTACTTATAATATGGTTTCTTGTATGTTTGGAAACATAGAAATAAATCAATTGGAATGAAACACATCAAAAGGTTAATAGTTATGAATCGTGTGAATTATGACTATATTTTTACATTTAGTTCTTCCACATCTGTTTATATTATCAAACTAAGCAAACATTTAACTTTTTTTTTCTTAAAAAAAACACACCAAAAGATTGTATTATCTGGCATGTGTACAACTTCAACCCTGGAACTTCTCTATGCAATTTTTCTTCCTGAATAGCCTTTTGCTTTCTAATTCATAAATATAAAAGAGCCTACATATTTTAATTCCAATTAACAAAAAGAAAGCTGGCTATGCTTTCTTCAAAGTTTAGAAGACTGAAATCTTGGATTTCAACCACATAGTAAATAGGCTCTCCCAATTTCCCAATCTGAATAAGGCTTTGAACTGTCTTGCAAAGTTTTAAATTATTTTGAAACAGACTCAACATGAAATGACCTACATAACTATAATGGCAGAAAATTGTGGCAGAAAAAATATAAATTACAATGTCTGA